CTTCGGGTCGAGGATTTGCCGAGCCACTGCCTCTTAGCAGTCCGTGCGGTCAACGAATCGATGATACATACTCACTTGCTCCGTGCTCCTAACCTCTTACCGTACACCTTCAGCACGATCACTTATGATATTGCTACGATAAAAGATACACTATTTTTTTGGTGTGAAAATCAAAGACTCTCGAACAATCTTCGAAGGTCTCCAACCCCACTCGAATAGCAGCAAGAATATTAAGTGGAAGGCTAACTTACAGTCTTGATGGCGTCGTTGAAGTATTCCTGAAATCATATCTCGGTCATCAAAAGGTTTACTAAATTTCACGTCCATCTGACTCTGAGACCATAAACGCACCCCGAAACGGCGGTGGAAGTCCTCTAGGATTGGGTCTTCGCCCTCTTCATTCTCGCTATTCTATAACAATTGTGATAACATTGAAACCTGAATGTTAATTCAGAAACCATAAAAGTTCAAATGGGGGCAATTTCAAAATTTCACGCCAGTTTTTCATCAGACGTCACTCAGCTAGAGACATCTACAGACAGCGAAAGTCAAGCGTTTTGTTGCTATTTTTCGATTCGCGTAACAGTAAATAGAATCTGCATCTGGTGGCTAAAAAGTCGCCCTTCTACCCAGGGCTAGGCATGGGTGACGGACAGACTGGATGTTGTTTGAGGGTAAAAGCAGAGAGAATATCGGAAGGTCGTTGGACACTTGCTAGAATCACTAAAAAAACTGATTTAGCCGCGTTAAAAAATCTTTCGAATGACTAACTCTACCCATAAGTCCGGAAAATTTTGCTCCCCCTCACTTCTACGAATCTTTCGGTTTTTGCCATCTTCACATAAATCACAGATGTGTGATTTTTCCCCTCCCCCACTCAATTTCAGAACCGCATTATTTGACATTATTTCTTTCCAGACGTCTAATGTACCCATCACTGCCTAACCAGTCCCATCACCTGCAAAAAAAAAACAAATTCGAGCTCCATTACGCACTCTTTAAAAACGCTCAAAGTTAAAATTGCGCCCCATAAATAAATGGCTTGCTTACAACGAAGAGAAAATTGACACCAAATTTGATGTGCATATGTGCTGTGGGAGCTGGAAAAATATACAAAAGAATTCGAGAGTTATACAATCAAAAGCTGCAAACATTTCCTTACAAGTGGCTAGCCAATAGCGCCAAACTGATATTGTATTCGTAATCTGCATGCTCGATTACCCCCCCCCCCTGTGCCAACGTTTAGCCCCGTAGGTAAACTCTGCAAAAAATTGATAAAAAACGACAAAATCGATATCGGTCGATAACGAAGCTTATGACACGCTCCCGGCCCCGAAGTATATGTGTGCCAAGTTTGGTCCAGATCGGTTCAGATAAAAATTTCTATTCCGCATACGTACACACATACATACAGGCACACAGCTTCAGCTTTATATTATGGCACCATTAATATATTTTTGTCTCGGCTGCGACTAGCCATGGGAACTTACCGCGACAAATCTGGGAGGATTCAGAGACGGAATGGTTAGGTTGGCGAGGTTTATTTTTTTCAGAGCATTTCGGACCTGTAAAACGAGAGTTTTTACACAAAGAAATACGATAAGCAGTGGTATCAACGCAGAGTACTGACTGTGGCCGTTTTTTTCCTAAAAACCGTTTCATCCCAAAAATACGCATTTACTCCATAGTCACGGGAAAGTAGTAACTATCCATTTAATCAGTAGTAAGCAGTATTTACTTGCTCTATAGTAACATCTAACCTCCTACCTACACTTACGACACGATCAGTCACGGTGGTGCATTACGATAATAGACGCGCCTCAGTTAAATAAAAGCCCTGATGCGAAAACTATCGGTACTTTTCCGTTGTCCGGACCCATTTTTTCAAAAGGCTTTCATGAATGCGCTATTTAGTTTGAGGGCAATTTTTTTATAGATTCTACGAGTACCGCCTCCCTGCCACGTGTCAGAAAAAAAATTGACATGTTTTGGTCCAATTTGACATGTTTTTTTCGAAAGAATTCGCCATGAGGTAAAAGAGCATTTACGATCACCTTAAAGCTGGTTAACGGTTTCTGTAAGAGAAAAACAATTTAGAACTTATATTAGGACATGTATTGCTTTTAGGAAAGATTCCAAATGTCTTTTTCTACAAACTCTGTCCGCCATGCGATTTCAACCAAGATAGACCGTAAATGATGGCTGAAGTACCTCGCTACTGCTTGTTTCGCCGCTAAAATGATGAGAATCCATCACAGTTCTCAATTCTGGGCAAGTCCAATCTGTTCATTAATAATAGGATAACGTCATAATCATATTGACATTTATTTTTGAAATTGTTTACTCGAAAATGGGGTCATTATTGATTGAAAAATCGATTGAACTAAAGTCAGTAGGTAGGGCAATACAAACTCTTGGTAAAACTTGCTAAACATGTGGATGACATGTCAAATTTTTTTGACACGTGGCAGAAGGTTGACACTTCCTTCGTGTGAGTATAAGAGCAACTATAGTACAAGAAAAAAAACAATATCCTTCTTTGAAAAAATGGGCCCGGATAACGGAAAAGTACCAAACTATCTAATCCACGGAAAATTCTTAAAGGTCCGCAAGTGATCACTCAAAATGCAGCAAGAATACAGAGAGTCCCAAAAAGATGTGCACACTGTTTAATCGTTAATAACTCTCTTGCTTTCATGTCTTTTGCCGAGCTTGAGGTACCATTCTGTAGAGCAAGGATAAACCTAGACTTACAGTATAGAGCGAATCACCAGTCACTCATCGCTACTGTAGGGTCACTGTAGGAACTTTCAGCATACAAGGTCACTGCGAAATAAGCCTTTTGACGAATAATTTCGAAAAAATTTAAAAACTAGTATATCAAGGTTTTCAGGCGTGCTGATTTCATTACATAACTTTCCACCAGTTTTTCGAGCTTTCTTGATGGCGTATTCACATTTCTGACCAACACTGGAAAAACATCTGTACCCTAAATCTGAAATAACTCATGAAAGAAACATTGTACTGACGTGCAATTTTCATATTTAAAATTACCAATTTCGATTAACCCAGATCAAGAGTTTCTGGCTTGTTTGGCTTTCTTTTCAAAGCAAAATACCGCTTTCAATGGCTTAAAATCCTTCTCGAAATTCCTGCCGTAATCCTACAGTAATAGAGAGCGATCAACGATCCGCTCCATACTGTAGATCTAACTTAAACCTCGCTCTTAAGAATGGTACCTCAAGCCCGGCAAAAAACATGAAAGCAAGAGAGTTATTAGCAATCAAACAGTGTGCACATCTCTTTGGGACACCCTGTATGATCTGTAAAGCAAACTTAAGTACCAATTGGCCATCGCTTTCGAGTACCTAAAATAATATCCGTCATTCAAAGATACCATAGATCCGATCGCGCGCAGAAGGCGACGACGTTGTTTCCAGTGATAGAGCATCATTGGAAGAGGGAGAACGCTAGAGCGGCGAAAGTGCACTGCAGAACTTGGACAGGTGGCTTACGAAGCAGGCTATATATAGTTTGGGGGAGGGGGGGGGTTATCGAAAAGCAAAGTGGATGTTGTTTTCGCGGAATCCGGAGCGGAGCTCTCAAAAAAGCCAACATCAGTTTGGTTTGCGTATATGAAAAAATCGCCAATCCCTTGCAAAATCGGAGTCCCTGAATGGAAAATATAATCCTTGCGATCACGCATGGCAATCTAATACTGATTCTTGTACAATACATGTGCGGCATGCCACACCCCACGCTTGACTCTGGTCATAAGCCCTCCACATAATTTTTTCAAACTTCTTACATGACCTGTCTACCTCCAAGAACCTACAACTGAGTTTTTGCCTCCGCAAACTCTCTTCTCCCAGTCTATTCAGCCTCGAAAAATTTTAACTGACGGCGGTAAGAATGCTCTAAGCGCGCGGTGATGCGCGCCGGACACAGCATACCGCCTATCTCGGAAAATTCGAACATAATTAGGTTTACCATCTTCTGTTTGATGTTGTAATTGTAATCTATCTATTTTTGTTATGTTCCTTTCATGAGCGTTTTATAGGGATGTCTCATTGTTGTTACGGACTTTGCTTCCAAACATTCCCAAAGCCACCTCGTGCCAAGCCTTGGTGCACTAGAAAGTAAAAACGCGAGTCCGCGATTCCGCGATCAGAATAGCTTATATGTGTATTCAGTTGAAGATCGTAAACTCACCCTTTTTCCCTCTTCACTCTCTTCGCTGGAGCTACTGGAGCTACTGGAGCTACTGGAGCTACTGGAGCTACTGGAGCTGCTGGAGCTACTGGAGCTACTGGAGCTACTGGAGCTGCTGGAGCTACTGGAGCTACTGGAGCTATTCTGAAACAAATTTTATAATCAGCTGCAGGATGAGGGTGCAAAAGCAATACTAGGCTGATTCACTCTGTCCGATTTGCGATTTTTTCATTTGAAATCTTATAAATTTTTTCAAAATCAATAATTTTGAACAAATTAAATTTTGCTGAATTGAACGAGTTTATGGCTATCACAGGCACTGCATGCCATGTAAAGAAGGCTAGCGAGAGAGAAGAGAGAATTTTTTGAAATCTGCTAGGTTTTCTTCAAAACCGCCCAGTTTGACTTACTAATGCTTCCATGGGATGAACAGACATATTTGGCTGCCATCATTAAGTAGCCTATACTTCAAAGGTTCTTTTGCGGCTAAAAAGAATTCGAGTTATCTTTGCTGCATAGAAATTTTTGCGAGCAAATCAAAAAACCCATTATTTGAGCCCTCCTCGGCGTGCGAAAATGTGCCGACTTCCTAATATCTGATTTTTTCTTGGTGTCGCAAACGAAAAAAGCCAATTGGCTGACGGTTCCTGCTTATCCCCGCTTCACTCTAACATATGCAATATTGAATGCATCACCCGCCGTTATATGTAGATTGTTGTCGGGGGTGGGGGGGGGGGGAGTAAGGGTGCGACACGATCCCCCGCTTGGTATGGTGTAAATTTTGCGGCTCAAGATCCTTCTTTATTTTGTGCTGCATCCTTTCGACGGAAAATCAATTGGGCGAGTTCACCTAACGCCATCTGGAACTCAATTCCTCACTTGAACAAGCATTTGACCTATAAAGCATAAGTAATTTTTCAGATTTTGTATACATACAACTTTGCTCGATTACAACGTAAAAACGTATGTTAAATTACTATAGTCTTTGCGAAGCTTTGCTCTCTCATTGAGTTGTTCTGGATACAATATAACGTACTTTTGAAAACACTGCTGGATCCAAATGGATCATGTATTACTGAATTCGAGATAATTTTGATAAGAGCGGGAGCAGATCGAAGATCCAGTGAGTAAGGCAATGTGGCTGTGATATCGAATACGTCTGAATCATTCCGCTGTTGGCTATGTGAATTTTTTTGTTTTTTTTGTAGAAAAGGGTCATAGAAAGGGTTGCAAAATTTGAAACTTATTTACATGAATCGTAAAAATGTGCAAGTGACTCATTTAGCCTTTTAAAGATTTTTCAGAGCGATTATGGGCCGTCGAAAATTTTGGAAAGCACTCCAAAAATTTCTTCGAGGTGCGTACCTAGCGCCACGCACCTTCATTTGAAAAAAAAATTTTTGCCCCCTCCCCCGGACGGAAGTCCTGGGACAGCCACTGGAAAACTCTGTAGGCAAAGCCTCAGCGCTCCAGTTAAGTGTGGCGTTGCATTTGATACAAGATTACTGGAAAGAAAAATCTGTCTGTGAACGAAGACCCCAATTTGACCGAAGCAGCGGAAGGGGGAATTCATTTCTTACTTGCTACCCACACAATTATCCATTCGCCTCAAGAATGCAAAAGATCGGAGCTTCAATCACTATTTTTGTCACAACTGCGAATTCTAATGTGCGCTTGACTGCAGTGTTCAGCCCGTTGCGCAATTATTTACGCTTTCTATGTTAATACAGTGTGTCGCATGCAAAGGAAGATCCAATTTGTACCAACAGTTAATTTCTGAGTGATTCTGCCGAATCCAAGAATGTACTTATACATGTGCCACATTGTGAATGGAACAGGCACTTGTGCTTTTCTGCAAATTTAGAGATCAGCACCTATCAAATGTCACATTTTTCATGCCTCGGCAACCACTAGTCATGGGAACTTACCTTAGATACACGATTGATGATATCGGTTGGGTCCACCCCTAAGCTCCTCAACATGTCGGCGAGCTGTAAAACGAAGAATTTTACACAGAAACATTGGTCGTGATGCATACTGCAGAAAAATATCGGTTATCGCCGTTCCCCCTCAACCATTTTCCCAAAAAATACACACCTAACTCGACGATTATGGATTTTTCAGCGTGTAAAGGTACCTAGCCACTGTGTGTGCGGTAGCTACGCTAGCTACGTAATCAGCAGTTAACAAGCAGTATAGTTAATTCGTTGATCGCACGGACTGGACATCACTGCGGAGCCCGCGCCGGAGGTGAAACGCTTGCCCCATTGCAAATTCACCATTGAACAAGTCGTGCTCTCGCAACATTTCAGCCGCGCCGCGAGTGGTCCGCAACGTTTAAAGGTAGTGGCTCGGCAAAACCAAACCTCAAAATCTGGTACGGAATGTTGCCTGCATCCCAAACATGAGAACAGGGCAGGTCCTAGCGCACAGCATGCTGCCCCTGCTTAGAAAAGTGCCCCTAAACCTGTTCGCACAAGACATTCTTACACGCACTCGGACGAGCTTGAGATTCCCCTCCGACCGTCAGAGGCGGCATGCAGCAGTGCTATAAACATGATGGTCCCGCAACGACTCTACATCTCTAACCATGATCTGAAGCGTTACACTCGTCCAAATTGAAAATGATGAGCCTCGGAAAATGCTAGTTTTTGCCGTTTTCGCGCCCTTTAAAGGTACTGTCGGAATCGGCGCGTCGAATTACTCAGGTAAGCGAAAAAAAACTTCAGGTCGAGGATTTGCCGAGCCACTGCCTTCAAGCAGTCCGTGCGGTCAACGAATCGATGATACATACTCACTTGCTCCATGGTAGCGGTTTTACCTCTTAACCTCTTATCGTATACCTTCAGCACGATCACTTATGATAGTGTTACGATAAAAGATACACTACTTTTTTGGGGTGAAAATTACAGATTCTAGAACAATCTTCAAAGGTCTCCAACTTCACTCGAATAGCAGCAAGAATATTAAGTGGAAGGCTAACTTACATTTCTGATGCTTTGGTTCAAGAGTTCGTCCACTCTCTGAAATTATATCTCGGTCAACAGATTTACTAAATTTCACGTCCATCTGACTCTGAGACCATAAACGCACCTCTAAATAGATGTCGCGGTTGTTGTTGATCCCATTGTTGATACTCTCGTTACTCTATAACAAGTGTGATAACATTGAAACCTGAATTTTTAATTCAGAAACCATAAAAGTTCAAATGGGGGCAATTCCAAAATTTCACGACACTTTTTCATCAGACTTCACTCAGCTAGAGACATCTACAGACAGCGAAAGTCAAGCGCTTTGTTGCTATTTTTGAGATTGCGTAATAGTAAATGGAATCTGCATTTGGTGGCTAAAAAGTCGCCCTTCTACCCAGGGCTAGGCATGGGTGACGGACAGACTGAATGTTGTTTGAGGGTAAAAGCAGAGAGACGGAAGGTCGTTGGACAATTGCTAGAATCAGTAAAGAAAAACTGTTTAGCCGCGTAAAAAAGTCTTTCAAATTACTGACTCTACCCATTCTCCCGGAAAATTTTGCTCCCCCCCTCCTTACTTCCCCGTACGAATCTTTCGGTTTTTGTCATCTTCACATAAATCACATATGTGTGATTCTCCCCCTCCCCCCACTCAATTTCAGAACCGCATTATTTAACATTATTTTTTTCAGACATCTAGTGTATCCATTACTGCCTAACCAGTCCCATCACCTGCAAAAAAAACAAATTCGAGCTCCATTACGCACTCTATAAAAACGCTCAAAGTTAAAATTGTGCCCCATAAATAAATGGCTTGCTTACAACGAAGAGAAAATGGACACCAAATTTGATATGCATATGTGCCGTGGGAGCTGGAAAAATATACAAAAGAATTCGAGAGTTATACAATCAAAGGCTGCAAACATTTCCTTACAAGTGGCTAGCCAATAGCGCCAAACTGATATTGTATTCGTAATCAGCATGCTCGATTACCCCCCCCCCTGTGCCAACGTTTAGCCCCGTAGGTAAACTCTGCAAAAAATTGATAAAAATCGACAAAATCGATATCGGTCGATAACGAAGCCTATGACACGCTCCCGGCCCCGAAGTATATGTGTGCCATGTTTGGTCCAGATCGGTTCAGATAAAAATTTCTATTCCGCATACGTACACACATACATACAGACACACAGCTTCAGCTTTATATTATGGCACCATTAATATATTTTTGTCTCGCCATGAGAACTTACCGCAACAAATTTGGGAGGATTCAGAGACGGAATGGTTAGGTTGGCGAGGTTTATTTTTTTCAGAGCATTTCGGACCTGTAAAACGAGAGTTTTTACACAAAAAAATACCATCACTAAGCATACTACAGAAGCATATTTTCGACTGTGGACGTTTTTTCCTAAAAACCGTTTCATCCCAAAAATACGCATTTAGTCCATAGTCACAGGAAACTAGTAACTATCCAATTAATCAGTAGTAAGCAGTATTTACTTGCTCTATAGTAACATCTAACCTCCTACCTACACTTACGACACGATCAGTCACGGTGGTGCATTACGATAATAGACGCGCCTCAGTTTCATTGAAAGCCATGACGCAAACTTTATCTGATCCATGGAAAATTCTCAAAGTTTTGCAACTACGATCACTCAGAATGCAGCAAGAATATAATCGTGTAAGGCAAACTTACGTACCAAGTGGCTCACTTCCTCGTTTTCGGATGCCTAAAATAATACCTAGTCATTTAAAGATACTACAGATCGGATTGCGCGCAGAAGGCGACGATGTTGTTTCCATTGATAGAGCCTCATTGGAAGAGGGAGAACGCTAGAGCGACGAAAGTGCACTGCAGAACTTGGAGAGGTGGCTTACGAAGCAGGCTAGATATCGTTGGGGAGGGGGAGGGGGATTTAAAAGCCAAGGGAATGTTGTTTTCGCGGAATCTGGAGCGGAGCCTTTAAAAAGCATACATCAGCTTGGTTTGCTGTATATAATAAATCGCCAATTCCGTTCGGCAAAATCGGAGTCCCTGAATGGTAAAAAATGTAATCCTTGCGATCACGCGTGGCAATCTAATACTGATTCTTGTACAATACATGTGTGGCATGCCACACCCCACGCTTGACTCTGGTCATAAGCCCTCCACATAATTTTTTCAAACTTCTTACATGACCTGTCTACTTCCAAGAACCTACAACTGAGTTTTTGCCTCCGCAAACCCTTTTCTCCCAGTCTATTCAGCCTCGAAAAATTCAAAATGACGGCGGTAAGGATGCTCTAAGCGCGCGGTGATGCGCGCCCGGACACAGCATGCCGCCTATCTCGGAAAATTCGAACATCATTAGGTTTTCCATCTGCTCTTTGATGTTGTGATTGTAATCTATGTTTTTTTGTTATGTTCTTTCATGAGCGTTCTATAGGGATGTCTCATTGTTGTTACGGACTTTGTTTCCAAACATTCCCAAAGCCACCTCGTGCCAAGCCTTGGTGCACTAGAAAGAGTAAAACGCGAGTCCGCGATTCCGCGATCAGAATAGTGTATATGTGTATTTATTTGAAGATCGTAACTCACCTCTTTTTCCTCTTCACTCTCCTCGCTGGAGCTACTGGAGCTACTAGAGCTACTGGAGCTACTGGAGCTACTGGAGCTGCTGGAGCTACTGGAGCTACTGGAGTTATTCTGAAACAAATTTTATAATCTGCTGCAGGATGAGGGTGCAAAAACAATACTAGGCTGATTCAAAAGTTCTGTCCAATTTGCGATTTTTCATTTGAAATCTTATAACTTTTTTCAAAATCAACAAATTTTAACAAATCAAATTTTGCTGAATTAAACGAGTTTATGGCTATCACAGGCATGTTTGCCATGTAAAGAAGGCTAGCGAGAGAGAAGAGAGAATTTTTTGAAATCTGCTAGGTTTTCTTCAAAACCGCCAAGTTTGACTTACTAATACTTCCATATGAGAATGAACAGACATATTTGGCTGTCATCATTGAGTAGCCTATACTTCAAAGGTTCTTTTGCGGCTAAAGAGAATTCGAGCTAACTTTGCTGCATAGAACTTTTTGCGAGCAAATCAAAAGAAGCCATTATTTGAGCCCTCCTCGGCGTGCGAAAATGTGCCGACTTCCTAATATTTGATTTTTTCTTGGTGTCGCAAACGAAAAAAGCCAATTGGCTGACGGTTCCTGCTTATCCTCGCTTCATTTTAACATACGCAATATTGAATGCATCACCCGTCGTTATATGTAGATTGTTGTCGGGGGGGGGGGGTGCTTAGTATGATATAAATTTTGCGGCTCAAGACCCTCCTTTATTTTGTGCTGCATCCCTTCGACGGAAAATCAATTGGGCAAGTTCACCTAACGCCATCTCGAACTCAATTTCTCACTTGAACAAGCATTTGACCTATAAAGCATAAGTAATTTTTCAGATTTTGTATACACTGCACTTTGCTCGATTACAAGCAAAAACGTATGTTAAATTACTATAGTCTTTGCGAAGCTTTGCTCTCTTATTGAGTTGTTCTGGATACAACATAGCTTACTTTTGGAAACACCGCTGGATCCAAATAGATTCATGTATTATTGAATTCGAGATAATTTTGATAAGAGCGGGAGCAGATCGAAGATTGCCAGTGAGTAAGGCAATGTGGCTGTGATACCAAATACGTCTGAATCATTCCGCTGTCGGCAATGTGAATTTTTTTTGGTTTTTTTTTGTAGAAAAGGGTCATAGAAAGGGTTGCAAGATTTGAAACTTCCATTCGCCTCAAGAATGCAAAAGATCGGAGCTTCAATCACTATTTTTGTCACAAATGCGAATTCTAATGTGCGCTTAGCTGTAGAGTTCAATCCGTTGCGCACCATTATTCACGCTTTCTATGTTAATACAGTGTGTGACATGCAAAGCAATATCCAATTTGTATCAAAAATTGATTTCTGAGTGATTCTGCCGAATCCAAGAATGTACTTATACATGTGCCATACTGTGACTGGAGCAGGCACTTGTGCTTTTTTGCGAATTTAGAGATCAGCTCCTATCAAATGTCACATTTTTCATGTCTCGGCAACCACTAGTCATGGGAACTTACCTCAGATACATGATTGACGATACTGGTTGTGTTCACCCCCATTCTCTCCAAAATGGTGCTGAACTGTAAAACGATGAATTTTACACAGAAACGTTTGTCTTGATGCATACTGCAGAAAAATATCGGTTATGGCCGTTCCCTCTCAACCATTTTCCCAAAAAATACACACCTAACTCAATGATTATGAATTTTTCAGCGTGTAAAGGTACCTAGCCACGGTGTGTGCCGTAGCTACGTAATCAGCAGGTAACAAGCAGTATAGTTAATTCGTTGGTCGCACGGACTGGACATCACTGCGGAGCCCGCGCCGGAGGTGAAACGCTTGCCCCATTGCAAATTCACCATTGAACAAGTCGTGCTCTCGCAACATTTCAGCCGCGCCGCGAGTGGTCCGCAGCGTTTAAAGATAGTGGCTCGGCAAAACGAAACATATCAAAATTTTGATACGGAAGGTTGCTTGCATCCCAAACATGAGAACAGAGCAGGTCCGGGCGCACAGCATGCTGCCTATGCTTAAAAAAGTGTCCCTAAACCCGTGCGCGCAAAACATTCTTACTCGCACTCGGACAGCTTGAGATTCCCCTCCGACGTCAGAGGCGGCATGCCGCAATGCTATAAACATGATGGTCCCGCAACGACTCTACATCTCTAACCATGACGTGAAGCGTTACATTCGTCCAAATTGAAAATGATGAGCGAGTAAAGTAGTAATACTTTAATCAGCGCGTCGAATTACCCAGGTAAGCGAAAAAAACTTCAGGTCGAGGATTTGTCGAACCAGTGCCTTTAAGCAGTCCGTGCGGTCAACGAATCGATGATACATACTCACTTGCTCCGTGGCAGCGGTTTTACCTCCTAACCTCCTGCCGTACCCCTTCAGCACGATCACTTATGATAGTGCTACGATATAAGATACACTACTTTTTCGTGAAAATCACAGATTCTAGAACAATCTTCAAAGGTCTCCAAGTTCACTCGAATAGCAGCAAGAATATTAAGTGGAAGGCTAACTTACAAAGCTGATGGTGTCGTCAAAGAGATTCTGAAATCATATCTCGGTCATCAAAAGATTTACTAAATTTCACGTCCATCTGACTCTGAGACCATAAACGCACGTGTAAAACGGTGTGGTTGAAGGGTCCGGTTGTTCCGCTCTCGTCACTCTCGCTATTCTATAACAATTGTGATAACATTGAAACCTGAATGTTAATTCAGAGACAATAAAAGTTCAAATGGGGGCAATTTCAAAATTTCATGTCAGTTTTTCATCAGACGTCACTCAGCTAGAGATATCTACAGACAGCGAAAGTCAAGCGCTTTGTTGCTATTTTTCAGATTGCGTAGTAGTAAATGGAATCTGCATTTGGTGGCTAAATGTCGCCCTTCTACCCAGGGGCTGGGTATTGGTGACGGGCAGACTGGATGTTGTTTGAGGATAAAAGCAGAGAGAATATCGGAAGGTCGTAAGTCTTTCAAATGACTAACTCTACCCATCCGTTCGGAAATTTTGCTCCCCCCTCACTTCCCCGTACGAATATTTCGGTTTTTGTCATCTTCACATAAGTCACATATGTATGATTCTCCCTCCCTCCCCCCCCCCCCCCACTCAATTTCAGAACCGCATCATTTAACACTATCTTTCCAGACGTCTGATGTACCCATCACTGCCTAACTAATCCCATCACCTGCAAAAAAAAAACAAATTCGAGCTCCATTACGCACTCTGTAAAAACGCTCAAACTTAAAATTGTGCCCCATAAATAAATGGCCTGCTTACAACGAAGAGAAAATGGACACCAAATATGATGTGCATATGCGCCGCGGGAGCTGGATAAATACAAAACAATACGAGAGTTACACAAGTCAAACTGCAAACATTCCCCTACAAGTGGCCGTGGCCACTTGGCAAGCCAGCAGATGTGGCCCGAAACAACGTCATAATTTTCAACTTTCCTCATATAATTCTCTATACCCTTTAAATTCAATCATTTTTATTCATATTCGACGGTTATTACAAGCTTTATAAAGTGCTGATTATATCTAAAGGTCCAGGCATTTAGTAATGAGACTGCATATGAATTGCCGTGTTTTCCATTGTCAAATTCTTCAACTCTTTTTACTGGTTACGAGGGAGTATAAGTTACCAGTGCATCACTTCTGCTTCGCAGAGGCTCGCACTGATTACCAAGGTAACTGTTACAGTAAACTTAGGCATAGCTTGTTTCTCACTTTCCAAAGTCCATTATTCCAAAGTTGCCTGAAGCCGGTGATCCTTACAAGGGAATGGTCAGAAATAGAAGTCGGCAATTCAAGCAAGCTGCATACCAGATGCAGCATTAAACGCTGACCCCAAATCTGTCTTCCTTATCTGCAGATCACTTTTAGGATCGAATTATAAGCCGTTAAAAGCCATTATTTTGCTAAGAAGTTGTGTGTAAGGGGCAAACTTGGCCGTACAGAGCTACTCCTGGCTCAGTGCTAGACTACATGCAGCTAGATCACTTCATATGGCCAGCACCTAGAGTTGAGCGAAAAGGGCGATAATGTGCTCAATCTCGGAACTTTTGTGCGGGATTTTTTTCGCAAAAATGCTGGTCATAACTTGGCTTACAAAGGCGCTCTGCGCATATGGAAGACAGATTTGAAATCAGCTTTCTAAGTTGCATCGAATGGTAGGCAGCTTGTTTGGATTGGCCACTTCGACTTTTGACCATTCCCTTGTTAGTTGAGAAAGAACGCTATCAGATATATGCTTAAAGTATCAAGACCTTATAATAACGGGCTAAGGGTTGTTTACGTGTTTTTGTGTGTGTGTGTGTGTGTGTGTGTGTGTGTGTGTGTGTGTGTGTGTGTGTGTGTGTGTGTGTGTGTGTGTGTGTGTGTGTGTGTGTGTGTGTGTGTGTGTGTGTGTGTGTGTGTGTGTGTGTGTGTGTGTGTGTGTGTGTGTGTGTGTGTGTGTGTGTGTGTGTGTGTGTGTGTGTGTGTGTGTGTGTGTGTGTGTGTGTGTGTGTGTGTGTGTGTGTCCGTCTGTTACGAAATTCGTAGAGCGTGTTCCAGCCAGCGTTTTAAGCCCAAATTTTGCATAGCGCATGCTACCTTCATGAAAGTTCAACGTGCAAAAGCACGAATAGATTCGTTGAATGGGTCCCTCAGAAATTGCGCGCCAAACGGATCCACCTGGCTTCTGTCCCGCAAAATTGGGTCCATATCACCACTTTTTGCAAAGTCCTGGATGTGTTTGGTGAGCAAATGTGCAAGCGATGGACTTTAGCCCAAAAAGTGGTCAAAAGTTTGCTACATAACGAAAACGGCGCCAGAAAGAGTTGGTTGCGTAAATGGTTAATTTGCTAAGGTTCTAGCTAAGCGTTTCAAAAAATTTTCGCACGGAGATGTAGCTCACGGTTACTATTGCCTTTAAGGGGACTACCAAGGCATGACAACTTCAAAAACCTATTCAAATTTGCGTTTGTCTTCCTACGAAAAGTTTCATCCACGCGAAATCACCGATCTCACGTGAAAAAACTTTCTGAATGAGTAGCTGTTTACATTTAATTCGTGGTAGTCGGCATAGTGCGGTAAGTTCCATTGCCACGGTTTTACGAGAATGAGTAAGGCACATAGATAGTAGAGCCAGTGCGAGCCTCTGCGAAGCAGAGGTGACGCACTGGTTTTAAATAATTCCTTGCTGTGATTACGTAACGGCAAAACTCCACACAGGTTCAGATTATAGATGCGATAGATGGAGAAATTCCTCTGACCCCCTTCACTTGAGGGCAGGCATCTGGCGGACTCCTTTCACCTGAGATTGAGACTAGAATCAACGCATAACGGCAGTATCAAATAGCTGTTACAACGGCACTTTTTGTTTGGAAAGGAAACACAGCTGCTCTTCTCCTCAGACATCAAAACTGCAGGAGAGTACCGAAGCAACAGTTGTTGAAAAAACGCATGCTTGAAAACAGCGCACTCAAAGTGGCGTTGATAACGAAACATAACCAAAAATCAAAAGGATGTCTAATTCTTTGAATAATTAACATCGTTCAGTGAATACACATTGTTTCAAGAAAGAGTTAAGCAAGAGTAGAAAATATGGACTAGTTAGTGATGGATGCATGTTTGCTGACAATAATCGTACCATATCTCTCTTCACTGGAGAGAATAATATAAAACTTCGAAAAAAACGTCTTGATTTGAAAAGATAACTACCCACAATTGGCTGATATTGTAACTAGATAAAACTGCTCGTATTTCGCTTCACAGAGAAACTGCGAAAAAAGAGACGGTCTATGTCAATTCCTCGTCTTCTGTGCTATCGAATGGTATACAAAGTGTTGGTGCACAAAGCTTTCCCATTTCAAATCCCATAGAAAGCAAGAGCGGGTGGAGCAAGTTAGTACTACCCTAAAGTCTTGCAGATAAGTTCGCCATCAGCCGCCTACAGATAAGGGAAGAGGAGAGGAGGAGTATCACTCTCGAGTCACGAAATCTCAAATTTTGTCTTATAATTCACATTACCGAAAAGAATGCTTTTGCTAAAAATATCACAGAAAAACCCTCTGTTTTTCGTCTGAGAAAAGAAGCGGACTTATCTGTAGGCGGATTTATCTGGCGGACTTATCTGTAGGCGGACTTATCTGATGGCGGACTTATCTGCATGACTTTAGGGGTAACCTCCACCTCATTTTCGAAAAGCCACGAGTTCACCCAACAATCTATATACCATCAAAAAGCGTACGAAATAGGGATTCGACATAGACCGTCTCTTTTTCTCTAACTCCCCTCTATTCAGAAATATATGGCATTTTAGCTAAAAACATGTGTGTTTTTGTGAGGCAATTTTTATGAAAAAAGTAGATGAAGATACCCAGTTGTCTAATCCTATTACAGAGCAAGTCTTCGCCAGTAAACTTAGTCCATCTCTTTTCTTCAAGCTTTTCTCTTTCCTTAAATGGAGCGCAAAGTGATTGCATAAAATCAGCTGACGCTGAAGCTTATATGATTATTTTATCTGAATTCACAGGAGAGCTGGAAAAAAAGACGGTCTACACCAATTCTGTATGTTCCGAGCTTTCGAATGGTAATGTCGAGTGATGAAACATAAAGCTTAT